AAAGAAAGAAAGAAAGAAAGAAAGAAAGAAAGAAAGAAAGAAAGAAAATTGAAAGAAAACAGCCCAGTGCAGGATAGTTAATTCATATAAAGTTTCCCTTTTCAATAAGTCATGCTCAGAATTAATAGGGTAGAGCTGTCACTTCTTCACAGAGTGGGAGACAAAGAAAGTGGCTGTTGCCACATTTGCCTGCTCAGCAAATCAGGCTGGCAAACTTGAGGCTTCAAGGATGCATTTTGCTCTTGAAGTAAAATGGCCATCATACAAAAGGTAGACCCTTAAATATTAAGGTGTTCCATCTCAGGAATTGATCTCAGTGCAGAAGCGAAGAGTTGCACTGTCATTCCACAGCCCAGACCATTCTTGGGGTCTCCAGTTTCATATCATTTGAATAAAGAAGAACATTCATACTCAAGATTTGAAATGAGGGGAGAACCCTTCATGTTCTCTGGGCTTGGTTGGTTGTGCACTGATAACGTTGCTTAGTTTGGAAAAGGAAACGTCTGCAAGAAAAGAAGCTCAGAACAACAAGGACCTCACAGTCCTTGTTCCTCTTCCTCCTTTCCTCCTCCTCTCTGCACACCCCACTCCCTTCTAGCAGTGATGATGTTGTTTAGTTAGGTAATGAAGCATCTGCAAGAAAACAACCAAGTTCAGAGAGCACCAAGGACCCCTCGTATCACTTCAACAGCAGGATTTTTGGTGATTCCAAATCCATCGGTCTGCAGGACCATTGATGGGATCCAGCAGGGTTCTTTTTACAGCTAATAGTAGATCAACGTCCCATTCAGTCTCTGCTGCTTCTTGATGGCGCTGGGGAAACTTCCAGTGACTCCCAATCAACCGGTGTCCACAGTGCTGGTTGAAATGGAAATTCAGCCCAAGAGAGCTTTCCTGCAGAACAAGTGTTCATAGTAGCGGTTGTGTGTTCCTGCAGAACATGTGTGGGGCTTATCCTTCTTTCACAACGGTCATTGCGTCTTCCACGATAAGAATAGCATCAGAAGGAAAACCAACCTGCAAAGTTCCTGTTATTTTTGGTTACTTTGATCTTTATCCTTATTTAGCTATTTTAGGCTTAGGATAAATCAGTTCCCCCCCAGCAGATGGCACTCTGTACAACTGCAGATTGTGATTGCTAATAAGTTTTTCCTCCTATCTGCCTTTCTTCCCTTCGCCCTCCTCTTGCCTCAATAATCTAAACTTGGTCTACAACTCAACTTCGGTTATAGGGATATAAAAAAATCTCCCTCTCCAGGGAAATGACATCCAGGAATCTCATCAAAAACACACAGGAGCATAAAAGCCTCATCATCAAAGTTAAAATAGGATAACCACGGCATAGAAACAGGGCATGAGAGAAGAACGTGTGGCAGCCACCGACACATGTAACTGTGCAATCTTTCAGGACACATGCGCGCAGCCATATTCTTTTCCCCCCTGTTCCCCTGAGAATTGCCCTGTCCTAAAATTGTTCTTTCCTACAAGAAGGAAAAAAACGCAGCAGCCTTTCTATAAAATGGGCATAATAAATGCAAGTGGCAAACAAAATGTGATTTTGCAAGAAAAAAGGAGATTTCAGCAGCCTGGGCTTTTATTCAGCACCTTCGTTTCAAATAACTCAAGTTGATGGAGAGCAGCGAGCAGAAACTTCCTTCCTGGAAAACCACAGATATTAAGTCCCACCCAGCTTGGCAAGGTCAAATAAAAATTTTTTAAAAAAGGAGCAATTGCATAGATTCCAGAAAGGTGAATTTAATATATTGGCAGTCCTCGACTTATGATCACAATTGAGCCCCAGATTGCTAAGTGGAACATTTATTAAGGGAGTTTTGCTCTGTTTTGTGATCTTCCTTGCCACGATTGTTAAGTGAACCACAGGAGTTACTGTATTTTCCCGAAAATAAGACCCTGTCTTTTTTTTTTGCTACCAAAAAAGGCACCAGGTCTTATTTTGGGGGAGGGGATGTCATCCATTGACTAACATCACTTGCACACATCGCCCCCGGCCTCCTTTTCGCTATCAGAGGCCTTCAGGAACTCCTTCTTCTGTGGCCAGCAAGGCTTTCTTGAAGGCCTCTGCAGCCAGTAATGGAACTCTGGATCGATCCGGAGCTTTATTATCAGCTACAGAGGCCTTCAGGGAAGCCTTGCCAGCTCCAGAAAAAAAATGGGCCAGCAAGGCAGGTGTCGGGGTGTGCGAGGCCTGGCTACAACACCCCAAAGGTAAGTAGTAGGGCAGCTCCACACACACACCCCTCATCCCCACCCTATCTTAATTTTTACCTGTGCATCCTGGAGTGGACGGGATCTTAATTAGGGCTTATATTGGGCGCACGTGTCAAGCTAGGACTTACTTTCAGGGCAGGTCGTATTTTTGGGGAAACAGGGTAGTAACGCGGTCATTACGCGAATCTGGCTTCCCCGTTGAGTTGAGCTGCCCAAAGAGCCGCCTCCCTCCGTCTCTCGGTTGCTTCTCTCTTACGCTCCTATCCATGACACTCCCACCCTTCTCACTTTTCCCTTCCTTTCGCAGAGAATCTGGAACTCAACCCAGAACCTCACGAGATCCCTCACCCAGACATTGGTCGCTACTTTGAGGAGTTTGCCGACGCGTACTACGTGGCCAACCCAGAGCTGGCAATCCGATACCCTGAGGATATGGCGCTCACGCGTTTAGCTGGCCAGAAAACGGAAGAGAGCAAAGAATGAGACTTATTTTATTTATTTTCCCCCTTTCCATCCCCTTCCTCTTTGCAAGGACAGAAGAAACTCTGTACAGTGGTGGTGGGGGATTTCATCACGGGGAGGAACTGCTGGTCTGAGGAACTGCACTTTGCTAGCTGGTAGTGAACTCCGTGTTACATAACCCCTCGATTGCGTTGTGCTGACACTTGTCAAAACCATGTGGGTGGAGCAAAGTTTAGAAACCTCCTCCTCCCCCCCAAATGAAGAGCTTCTGAGACTTAAAAAATAAGTCCTCATTCTGGAAAAGTTGAGTGACCTGCAAATGGAAGGCAGTGGATAATTTCCAGGTAGAATTTTCTGGAACTAACCCAACATCTGTCTCAGTTCAACTTCAACCAACAATGAGGTGCCAAAACCTTAAGGAAGGACGTTGATGCTTCCTTACTCAAAAGGTCTCCTAGAAAACCCCATCAGGATTTCTCTCCACTGCTTCAGGCCAACAACTCAAATTTTAAAAAAATAAAACCTGCCCTGGATGGATGTCGTTTTCCTGCAGGTTTCTCGGACTCGCACGCCATCCCACAAGACACCGTGCCACATGGGTGATGAATCTGGAGGTGAGCATTATTCTCCTTTTTTGTTCTGCTTGTTCGCTCATGGCTCACTCCATTAAAAAAGAAAGAAAAAGGATAAAACAGCATCACCCTGGGAAGGCAAAGAAAGCACCGAAGGACGTGGCCATCAATTGTCTAAAATGTCCTTTTCTCAGGGAAAAGATCTGGGAAGCTGATCGATGTGCAAAAGCTGTCTGGCAGAAAGAACTGATCATGCTTTCATCAGTTGTTGTAAATAATATGTTTCAAGGCTGTGGAATGTGTAATTTCTGAACTGGGGTGTCTGGGCAGAGTGCTGCTGACACTGGCTGGAGGAGGCAAGCTTTTAATCATCGCATTGTCAAGGATAAAATGATACGCTTCTCCGGTCTTAAAGTCCTGAACGTGGCTGTTTTGTGAAATTGTTATTTTCCAGGATCACCCCTTCATTTGCATGCTGTGTTTTCACGCACTTCGGCAAGCGCATTTCCCTGTGAAATTTAGTGCTAACCTACAGGGAGCAACAGCTCAGAGGTTCGAGTTAGACCGTCGCTCTAGGAACACGTGTGCGCCCTTCGACATGTGTACAGGTAGTCCTCGACTGGCAACCATAATGGAACCTGCCCATTATGGTCATAGGTGCTCCAATACGAGGCCCAAAACTTGGAAGAGTAAACCTTTGGTTCTGGTGACCGACTCGAATTGGATCCTAATATCAGGTTTCCACATAATATACCCATAGCAAGCGAAACTCCGAGGCAGGTAGATTCCTCAAGGCATAGTTTTACTAGATACATCAAATTGGCACAGATCTGGTGAAAACCGACTCTAAAAGTTCCCATGGTTTTCACCTAATTGAAAGTACGTTTTTCCTCTTCCCTAGTCAATGGTCGACTCCTCTCTCTCTCTCTCTCTCTCTCTCTCTCTCTCTCTCTCTCTCTCTCTCTCTCTCTCTGACCAGGTATGAGAATGACCTTGATTCCCAGGAGAAAGTATTTTGTTTCGACTACAAAGCCCCAGCTATCTATTCCTCCCCTCCCTATCCCTCAGCTCCGGTGTGGCAACACTGAAATGTCTTCAAAATGGCTTCGGTCAGCTTCAGGGTCAGTCATAAAGCAGGTCGTCCCACAACCAACTCAATTTTTACGCTTTGTTTTGTGTGCTGTGGCCATTAAGCAAATCACCATGGCTGTTAAACGAGGCCATTTGTGCACGATGGGGCATTTTTGCCGAAAACCAGAAGTTACATGCTTGTTTTCGGCAAACACATAGTTATTTGCAGTCAGGACACCGCAAATGATTGCCCACCACCCGAAATGCAGGCACAGAACCGGGAGGACGTAAATCCCTTTTGGGAGATCCAGCGTAATTTTGAACAGTCGCTAAGCGAACGGCCGTAAAATCGAGGACTACCTGTAGATCTTTGGATCGCGGCGGTGGGGAGCCGAATCCACTGGTGGGTTGCCTGCCAGACTGACATAATTCTCTCTCGCAACAGCAGCCGCCAACGAGGATGACCTCCCTGGAGACGTGAGCCTGTGCCGACTCCCGGGCGCAGGGCCGTTGTCAGAATCGTCCTGCGAGATCCAACGACGCAGAAGCCTCAAGGGGGGCCGCGCAAGACCACCCTTCCTTCGCGGTTCCTTTAAAGCCAAACAGGGAGAGCTAACCTATGCAGTTCACGCAGCCCAGCCCTCTCGTTCGTTTTGGAGGGGCTTTAGCAATACACAGTCCACCTTTTAGCAATACGTGGTCTCTCTCGTCGACGGTGCAGCTGAAAAAACGAACCACGAAGCTGCCTCAGACTGCACCCTCCAGCCTGCAGCTGGCTGCGGGTCTCTGTTATCCCTGGTCGGATAATCTTGATCAGAAGTGGTTTCATTTCCCCCCTCTGGATTGTTGTGGGTCTGATGCATGCCTGCCACTCTCTTTCTTTCCTAAATTTCTGTTATTACTTTTTCCTCAAGCGCTTAGAATTTCTCCTTCATCTGAATGGTGCTATATAAATCCATCTTTCTCCCTCTCTATCTATCTATCTTTCTATCTATATCATCTATCATCTCCTATCTATCTATCTATCTCTTTTTGTCATCTATATCATCTATCTAATCTATCCATCTACATCATTCATCTACCTACGGTCCCTATATTTCCTTCTCATTCCATGTGTCCTCATTCTCTCTCTTTTTCCCCCTCTGTCTCTTTCTCTCTCTTTCTCTTTTTCTCTCTCTCTCTTTGTCATCTATATCATATCTATCTATCTACCTATCTACCTTCCAGCATTTTGAAGATATAAAAAAAAGCAGAATTTGTACAGCCCATCAATACCGTATGTAGTTTTGAACATAAAATGCACTAATTATTTTTAGGAGAGTTACAAATGTAGGAATATGTTTCTCTCCCTCCCTCCTTCCCAGCACTTCATGGTATTTCTGGAATAAAATGACACCCTTTTCAGCTTGTAACTGTGCCATATTCTTTCTAATATAAAGCCATTTCTTTTTTGGGGGCGTTTTTTTGGGCAGAAGTCAATGGGAAGCCCTACTCGTAAAGAAACTCGATAACTGTGATTACCAATTTAGGAAATTTGAATCCATGGTAAGTGTTAAGAACATTTGAACTGACTGTCACTGACTCTCCAAAAATACTTTGTGAAATAATGATATTTTACTCAAGAACTGAAAAGGGGTTTTGGCTCTCAGACAATTTGGAATTAATTTCCTTTCTGTCTGCCTTCAGCTAAATGTAAAAGCTCTATGCTTTTCTCTTAAAAAGATAACACATTTTGTACATTGCTAGAAGTATTTTATTTTTTCTCAATCACTTCATATTCCCAATCTACACTCTCCTCCTGAAAATAAACTCTTAAGTCTCAAAAACAGTTGACCCCTGGATTCCATAACAGTAGCTAAACCTTGATCCATAAAAATATTACACATTCAAGTGGGGGGTAAAAAGCATAAAGAATCAAAACTAAGACTGTTACCTTTAAGATTATATTTATTTATTTGGAAAAAATTATATTGCCACCTACTCGCTCACAGCTACTCAAGGTGGCTTACAGGAAATAAAAACCATAAAAGAAGTAAAAATGATAACCTCCCCACCCCCAATAACAACACACTGTCATATCAGCCACTTAATGGGCTCCATCCAGCTCTGGGTTCTCCAGGCTCACTGGCAGGACCACAACTTCAGGGCCTTCCAAAAGATGGGCTACATTCTGGAGGGATGATGTTCCAGAGAGAGGTGTTCTGACCTCGGCTTTCCCCCAAAAGCACTAAGCAGACTCTTTGTCCCGGCAAAACCCCTTTTATTAAACAAAGGTGAATTTCTTGTGTTCACATTCAGCCAAAGGCCTGGCCAACAGTCTTTCAAGGGTGTAATTAGAAGCAGGGACCTTATCTAGCTTGGAGAGCGGCCAAGTAAATATTTCCAAACGCGGTGCTGACAAGGAAGGGCTCGGCACAGCGTCTCTTGAGATGCACAGACAGATCTTCACACTGCTGCAATGGAAAAGTTTCCTGCAAAAGCCCCCTCCACTTGCTCCTCTTTTAATCCTGGTGGGAGGGACCATTCACCGTCCACCTGTGGCCTTACTCCCACGTCGATCCTTAGTTTGTAATTGTTCTTTTGGCAGCTACGTGCAGGCTGGGAACCAGCTCCAGCTACTCCTCCACCTCACTGCTGTCCGACTCCGAAGGCAGCTGATGACTGCCAGCCTGCCCTGTCTCCATCTCTGCCTCTGACGCAGAGCCCTCATCCGAGCCGTCCTCAGCCTCCAGGACTGGCCCAGGTTCCTCCCCAACCTTCTTACTGTCTGACTCTGCTGCCAGCTTCACTAGCCGCGGAGAAGGTCCTTCTGTGTCCCACCAGTGTTATCTCCTTTGAGGATGGGACCCCGCAACATTCTTTGCCTTCCCACTCTAGTGGGTTGGATGGATGTGACACATATATTTGTATTGCATTGAGTTTCGGGGGGATTTGCTTCCAAGCATGTGAGCAGGTGCTTGACTGAGAAGAACACAGAAAAAGAAGACTACCCTGCCATAGGAACGGACTAGCTGTTTCAGCAGTGACCAACCTGATGTCTCAAGGTTCAGGTATGAAAGACCCAGATTTTTCCTCTTCCTCAGGAATACTGCCTGTTGAAATGACTGTCTTACAATCACGATGTCTATGGAGATTCTCAGTCATCGTTTGCTTGTCCCACAGGTGCAATTGGACTTGTTGTTTTTTCTCCCTTGAAAACCTTTTGCTTCTCATCCAAGAAGCTTCTTCAGTTCTGACTTCAGCACCTTGGGGATTACAATAACGATCTGTCCACTGTAAATACACAACTTTGTCTAACTTGGTGTGCTGGGTTTGTCGATGAAATCAAGCAGCTGCATTTATTCTGGATCTCAGTTTCTGACTAGTGCCTGCCTGATACTTCAGGGAACCACAGATAAGGGTCTGGTCTGTTGTACCTAGCTCACTCAGACTTCCAACGAAGATTTTGGGCTTAATTGTGGTCGTAAGTCAAGGACCACCTAGTAGTTGCAGCTGAACTTGCCCTGATCTCAACTGAACCTGTAAGGCAAAGTTTGCAAACCAAGGAACGTGTGTTTTTGGGACACAGAATCATCTTATTCGTGCACCCCAGCTGTTCCCAGATGTTGATTAGCATCTGCATTGCAGAAGGAAAGTCATCAAGGAGAAAAGTGGGGTTTCTGAAGTAGGTGGTGGAAATTTATAATCAGCTTTGGAAATGACTAGTAAGATCTCGGGCAGAAACGGCCGTGGTGGGGTTTATTTTTCTCCCAAGACGAGCTGCGAATCAAAGCAGCTCGTTTCAACGTCATTAAAATTGCTTTGAAATTAACGTTTGACATTTTCTCGACACCCTTGATTGAGCTTTCAAACAGCCGAAGCTTCCAGTTCTGGTTGATGATAATGCTGAACATGAGTCAGCCATGAAATGTGACGGCCAAAACAAGAATCAACTCGATTTCCAAACCGTGGGAAGCAACCGTTCCTGTTCATTTTTCCCTGTTTAACAAATCCAGCTCAAGTGTGAGGACCAATTTCTTGAGGGCCGCATTTTCAGAAACATTTGAGAACAACTGGAAAGTGCCCTCTGCTGGGAATGATGGAGAGAAAAGCAGGAGGAGGAGGAGGAGGAGGAGGAGGAGGAGATGGCAGAGAAGGAGGTGGCTGGACGGAGTCCCAGAAGCAGTCGCCATGAGGTTCAATGGACTCTGGAGGATGGTAGAAGGCCTGGAGGAACATGGTCCATGGGGTTGTGATGGGTCGGACATGACTTTGCGACTAACAACAACAAAGCTGGATGGTTCAAGCAGAGGTTGGGCAGCCATCCGTAGGAACTAAAACATTACGAACATTAAAAGT